TATAATACCAATAGGTAGCTAAAATATCCACTGCATAAATAAATATGTCTTACGATTTATATGAAGGAAAATACGAGTATCCTGCATGTAATATAATCAAGAATACCAATAGTTGTCATCTTGTCGGTTATCAAATAATTCATATATTTTATGGAAATAGGTATCTACAAAAAAAAATATACCCAAACATAATATATTTAATGATAATAGATACTAAATTGTATTATGCCAATAACTTGCTTAATGCTTTAAATATTTTCAATTATAAATACTGTATTCAGCAGGTCATTATCATTTAAACATAAGACCTCAAAGATTGGTGGAACGAAACAAAAACTAAGTTATTTTACTGTTTACGAGTATGTATCATTATAGTATATAAATATAAATCAGTAAAATTTAATTGAAAATGATACAATGAAAGTATTTTGAACATCATAACAAATCAACGTCATTTGAATCTAATTCTTAAATTAACAATCACAATGATTAACAGTACTTATATAATTAATTACCTATCTTATTTATTATTTTAAAATAATAATTTTATTTCTATTGTTAATTTTATCGACTATCGTATTATATTATGCTATTATTATTTGATGCAACAACGCCGTATTTTTCTTAGTACCTAGAATGATTTAATTTCTGAAAATGTCTATACTATCTGATACAATTTGTGTTAATCCAGTCGTCTCATATTATACATTTTTATGTTAAATGTTCAACTACTATTATAGTACCTATTCAAAACAAACAATTTTCAATAAAGAAATAATCAAAAAATATTTCGAAAATGTTGCCATTTATGCAAAGTTCTAATATAAATACTTATTTGGTGATAATTTCAAGTGTCTAAGGATATTAGTTTTTGAGTTGAATCAAAAAAAAAATTTTTTTTTCAAAAATTTGTATTGCGTAAAAATTACCACCTTTTTAACTTTTTTGTTTTTCCTAACGCTTTCTAAAACTATCGGGAATTTTCAACCTATCTAAAGTACCAACTAGACTCACTTTTCAATCAGAAAATATGCTAGTTTTTAAGATAGAATATAAACACCTACTAATAATATATTAACTTATTTTCGAAATATATTAAATTCCCATTAGGTAAACCTAAAGAGGTTAGAGTGAAATTATGATTGTCGTAAATCACAAGTAACTATCCTTAAATAAATTACCGAAATTCGAATTAATAAAATTAAGTTTCTTGGCCTTAAAAATACAGGTGTACCTGAATTATTTAATTTATTAATTGTATTAACACTATAATAGGAGGCATAAAATATTAATTAATTTTCAATTGTTATACATACTATATTATTATTATTATTATTTTTTAATAGTATTATCTGGATTAATTTCATAGCATATTTGTATTTCAATTAGAACTATTTGAATGGATATAGATTTTCTTATAATATATACCTACCTAATAAATATATGTCAAAAGTTAATGACTTTATAATATAGTATATGTGTATATCTATCAAAATACCTACCTAATTGGCATATTTTCTGTACCTAAAATTAGCTACGAAGTTTATATCATAATTTCTTAAAAAAATATATTATATTTATTGTTTTAAATTTTAGATACCTATTTTAGTGTTAAAGTTGCCTATGTCATCACTTATCGCTTCCCAATAGCGTACGCAATGAGTTGGTTACATCTTTAGTTTCATCTAATGCCATTAAAAGTATTACGCTGCATGACCAGTAATACCCGATTTTTAAGATTCATTTTTAAATACAGCAGGTCTAACGGCCCGTTACATAAAAATTGAAATTACTGTTGTAGCTGTAACTGACACTAACTGTGTTAAAAATAATTTTGATTATAATGATTGATTTAAAATTATTATTTATATTTAATAATGGTTCATAAATATTAGTTTCTACACTTTAAAAAAAATAGTGAATATCTTGATTAAACATAATTGATTGCAATATGTTATGCTGTATTTTTAAATTATATTATTATTTTTTAACAATTCATACTATGTGTAGGTACAATGTTTTTATAAGCTATAACAGGTTTATTTATACCTATATATTTTATTTCTACATCTTAATAGAATGTATATATTCCTATACTATAAATAAATATGCAGTTGAGACTTTCTATATGAAATGGCCGATAAACGGCTACTCTGTAAGGTCCAGTCCATTGTTTGAAATGCATAACGTGGATACTTTGTACTATTATAGTCTTATACATACATACAGTATTTAAGTTTATATAATTATGTAATTATAAGTACCTACATATATAGAATGTTATAAAGTTTGATGAGATTTAAACGTGATTTTACTTATTTGATATTTAAAAGTAATTTAAATATGACGTTATAAACTTATAAATAGTGCTTGAACATTTCTAAATTATAATTGTATTATATTATAAGAAATTAAATTAAATAGGAAACACAAATTTTTAAATTTACAAGTTAAGGAACAACCAAACAGAAGTGGTGCTATAATATATTTATATAATTATAATTATAATACCAAATTAGTTAGGTATACCAAATGGTATTTAAACTCAATACGAATTTTAATATAATTGGTCATGACTCCAGACTTTTTTTTATTTTATTTATACATATACGTTATGTTTATCATTTGGAGTACATACAAAGTGTCCGCGTTATACAATCTAAAGTTATAGGTACCCGACCATACAAAGTATCCGCGTTCTGCAATCATAATTTTAACGGGTACAAAGTGTCAGAGTTTGGCACTTCCAATGTTCGGCAGTAGTGAACTAGAATCAAAACGGCCAACTCAATAATCAATACATATTATATCCAATACACATATTATTATAACAATTAGGTACCTATACGGCTATAACACACAACGTCTATTCTCAAAATTCTTTGTATACATAACATTAGATAATTGTCTACGGAATCTTAAATTAAATTAACTATAGATAATATATTAATATTAAATCCTTGTTAGTCATTTGTTGATTTAATTCAATAATTATTTAATGCCTCGTAATTTTCATTAATCTATGAATTAATGAAGTATGATTTATTTTTGTTATGAATTATATCGTGTAGGTCATTTTTAGAAAATTTGTTTATAATTTACATTTACTGTTATGCAATAAAAAATAACAATCGCTTATTAGTTATTATTAATATTCAAACGTATAGAAAAAAAAATATGTATAAATATAAATAAATAGATATATATTATTATGTGTGTGCCCCCGAGTGTTACACAAGAGGTAAAGTGCAATGGGCACTTAGAGTTTACAACGCCGTCTGTATACTGACGGACTAAGATACAAAATGTAAAGGTGAATAAAACCACCTGTCGAGCTGAAAACATTAGGTATAGGTACCCAGTATGCTCATCTATGGTAGAACCTTTCGGTGGCCGTCCCCCGACCTCCGCCGACCATGTCGTTTCCAGTCTATTATATCTTAGATAAATATACATTATAATAAGTCAGATAGCTAACCGTCCTCTTATATTATAATATACCTATGTCGGTAGTCATTGTACTCTCATTGAAGCCAACAGTCCTCCATATTAATCGGTAATATTAGATATTAAACATAATATTTCTGTGGGTATCTTCGAGTTAGACAGCTGGTATTGAATTACTGGTACTTTAGAAGTTTCAAGTAATCACAATTAATATTGTACAATCACAACAAAATAACTAAAACAGTTATTCTAGGTTTTTTACTATGTATTTTTTAGATATTTTGGTAACAGAATTAACTACTTACGTTTTAAATTTTTAATCCTGAGATATAAAAGTTGATCATTTTATACATTTTTAACTACAAAATAATTTTTCAATTTTAAATTTGATAAATTTTGTCAAAATTCGATCTTTAAATGCTTATAAAAAAAAATTGTATTTTTGTACAATGTATTTTTAATATTTTTCAACTGATATTGTAACAATATATCAGGAGCCTTGTATTACATTTTTACACTTTTTGGCCCAACAGATAAAACTCTATTGATGTTTATACAAAAAAAAAAAAACTAAAAAAATTGAAAACTGAAAATGTCCGTAAACAGCTCAAAAAGAGTCAAATCTTTTCAAAAGTGTATGGTGTATAGGAAATGCTAAAATAAACATTCAGTGAAATTTTCATGTATCTACAGTTATTCGTTATTCGTTATTTGTTAAGAAAATCGCTATATGAGAAATCGAGTGAATATCCAATGTTGTAAAAATTTGAATTTCAAACGCTCATAAAAATTTAATTTGACCTTCTTATAGACATTTTTTTTTTTGATAAAGGTAGATAATCTTATAAGGAATCTTGTATTACATTTTAAAATCTTAGATTTAAAAAGAAAAATTTTTACGAATTATTAACTCAAAATAATTTGCTAATTTTCGTGATTTTTCCATATTTTGTCAATTTTTGAACTTTAAATACTTGTAAAAAAAACCTGTGACTAAGGATTTTTAATATTTTTCATCTGCCTTTGAAACAATATACTTTTAATATTTATTTATGTACCTACCGATATAATTGTACTAATAAGGCGCCGGCCCTGTGTGTGTTGTAAAAAAATATAAGTATCAAATTAAAATATTATTTTCTTATATCATAGGTACACAGACTTTATCTTGTATTCTTGTGTATATTTTATATTTTTATGTATACTTCCTATAACACTTAAACTCAATAAAAATGTAGATAAATGAAAGAAATATATTATACATCATTAAAACATAAATTTAAGTTGATTTGTAGATAAATGAAAACGTTTTGTTTTTAACGTTCGAACAATAAAAATAATATTAAATCTTATATTAAGTAAGTGCCTAATACCTACACTATTAAAGTATTCAAATTGAAAACAATACACATGAAGATTGAATGTCGTATCAAAAATAATAAAACAAAAATCTAATACAAACAAATATAAATCTAAAATAGTCGTAAAATTCAAACGTGGAACGAGGTGCATCTTAGAGGGGACATTATATTAGAAGTAAACGAAAGATTAAGATGAGATTCTCATATGGCACTCCTTCCAATTGCATCAGTATACCTCCACCCTTGGTCACAGAAAGTTTTTTAAGGACTTGTGAAGATCCGTTCATATGCCAAAATAAAATATTAATCATCGTCCAAAATATTATGTGTTTAATAAATGACAAATATAATATTATCCAAATATTTATTATTTATACAGTTACTTCAAATGTTTACGGTAAGAAAAAAATTAGTAACAAAATACAATTGTATTACCTAACAATTTAATAGTTAATTCACACTAATAAATTATATCTATGTACAGATAAAAAATGTAAATAGTAAAATAAATCTTTTGGTTTTATTATAGAAGCTTATTGATTTTCTTATATTTTATTAATCCGATAATCAATCTACTATACCTAATGCTTTTAATGATGAGATTTATGTATATTTTATTATTTTATTAATCCCATGCATAGACCTAATAAATATAAATCGTATTGTATAAATGGCAACAAACTATTTTATTTCATGTGACATGTATTTTTATACTGATAAACAATTTATGAAATTGATTATTATTGCATAAATAATATCACGCAGCAGTATTAAAACATTCACTCTTTGAATAATTGATTGTTGTGTTTATAAAACTCCATTAGGTCATAGATATTGAGACATTTAGTATAGGTATTTAGAATAATACTATTGAAGAAATATAAATTCAACCAAGTACGTATATATAATCTATGTACCTATTTAAGTATATAGTGTAAATAAACAATTATTATTGTACCCACCGGGAATATAATATTATGATTATTATTATGCCTGCAGAGACATTTGATAATAATTAGCGTTCAAAAATGTCATAATAAGGCACCTTTAAAAATTTTTAAATTATTTTAAATAAATATAATTATAGGCCTATTGAAAAACTACATAACAAATATATAAATTAGAATGTGGGTAGGCTATTTATATCATTATATGTAATGTATAAAATATAATATTTGATTCTGCATTTTCTTAATTGGAGCCTGGAGGGGTGTATGGTATGTTACACATCTATAATTTCAGAATAACATATATATGACCTATATAATTTAGTTATTAAAAAAAAAACGATTGCTATTGTATGAAATTTCAAAAATTTCAAAAATGTATTTTAGTAATCATAGTAATTTTAAAGTATCTGTAAACAAATGTACCTATAAAGTGTGTTAGTAAATTTTAAATATAGTACCTCTGGTTCAGAATATAGTGTGAATATTTTATGTGCCTATTTTTAATGTTTTATAATATGACTCATCTCATTACATCTCTTTTACCAAAATCTACATGTCATATACTCATATTCTACATAAAAAAACTGCAACTAAACATTGACTCAACATCGTGAATATACTGATTTTCCAGTTAATTAACATACATAACATACAGTATAGAGCACTTTGTTTTACTCAATATTTCAATGTTATTATAATAAGATCTAAAAATTCTACAACACCAACCAAAATTGAACTGTGAGTACTGAGTACGAATGTACAATTGAGTATATACCTACATAATATTTTACGGGTGATATGTTACGATAAAGGACGAAAAATAATAATTTACGTAATTTAATGGTGAATAATGGAAATATCCATTTTTAATTTGCATGAGAATATTTTGATGTTAATTACCGGGAATTGACGATAAAAAATTGTACAAATGGTTATTTATATTATCTATTTTACTTTGAAATGTTAAGGTCCGGTTACATTTTGAATTGCAAAATTTATATGAAGTACGACAGGCCACAGCACCATTTATTATTTCTACATGTTACTTGAATACCTAGGTATTAGATGTCTTGCGCAAAAACACATTTAGATCCCTAAGATAAAAATGTGGCGCTCAAGCGGCAAGCCATTTGGTGTGTATAAGATACATACGCAAAAGCTTATATAATAATTATATAGGTAGGTATCTAAGTATGTTTTCACATAAGTCATCTAGTGAAAGCAATATTATAGTCACTTTATGGTAAATATTGAAACAAAAATGCCGTGAAGTTCTAAAATACTCAAGATTTACCAACAGTATTAAAAACTGTAAATTGAACAGTATTAAAATTGATAAACTAGGTACCTATTTTATTCTTATTATATTGCATTACCCAGATGTCAGATGATATTTATCAACATATAGGTAAACAATTATATCTATTATCTAAGATCATAACCAAATCATTATTTTAAAAATAGCTCATTACTGCATATATAAATTATAATACCTACCTAAGATAATAATTCAACTCTTGATTATTAACTGTAATTCGTAAATCGTAATGATATCAAGTTAATTTCTAAAACAATAGCAATAGGCTATAATAATATCATTCTATTTTATAATTTTAATATTTATAAAGTTACTTATAAATTAACAGTTAACCAGAAGTTATTCAAGTGGTTTCAAAATATTTATGTATTACTTATTATAAATATATTGTAATTCTATTATTATTGTAATTCCTACAGTAGAAGAAATGACTAAACATATGCTTAGACTAAACATAAGTTAACTGAATAGTTTCAAAATATTGAATTGTTGTGGATATTTTATAAATCAATTACATTATTATAGCTCTTAATAAACACATATATATGCAATATCCACGTGCATACAAGTGTTTGTACCAGCGTGTGTGTATGTATATACATATTTCATATCAATATCAATGGACAAGCGACAAAGACGAAAAAGACATTACTGGGATCTATTTGGATGTAATGTCCTAAATATGTAAACCGGTTAATAAATTAGATAAGTTTATGACTGTGCAGGCGCTAAAACCGAACAAATTGACGACGCCGATTACCATAATCCGACAATCGCTTCTTAAGTTTTTCCCTCTACCTCCAATTTCAGTTTCCAATGTGTCCCGTTCTTGGCGTAGGATTCAAATTTTTTATTAAAAATCTGGTTTTTGAAGTTCTCACATTAGTGTGGGACATTAAGGATTTCATATTTATTTATTTTTCATCATCTCGCACAGACATTTTTATTCCTCAATTATGTAGGTACAAATATGATTAGCATTTTCTCTATTGTTTCAATAGTATATTAAATTATTTTTATTTTTAAATAAATAGGTACCCAGGTGTTATTTTTTTGCCTCGAAAGTCGATGGGCGTTGAATCTCGAGGGCCACTAAACAAAAGGACTGATGACAAATGAGCATTACTACCGTGTCCTGACAATAGAGCCACGTTTTTTTTTTGTAGCTTATTTTCTTATTTTATTTAAATAAAGGAAAAATAATGTTCACGTCATTCTTCAAACGGAATAATAATATTCCAGCTGTCTTGTTGCTATGATTAGTCGTTGTATTATCCTCAAATAGACCACGCGCATAATAATTTAAAACGATCATCGTAATGGACTTAACGTCCGTTTTGTTGTTTCAGTATCATCGGTCACCAACGATACTACATATTTTCAGACAAGACAACTCAGTGGCCAACAGTATCGTCTGGACTATAATTTACAGAATCACACGAAATATGAAGAAAAAATTTCAGACCAGTCAAGAACACTATTCGAGTAAGTTACATAATATAATTTTGTTTCAATATGTAAATATTGTTTAATATATTTGTTAGCTCTTACTAATAAATAATAATACGTGATTGATGAATAAATGTACTAAAAGAATTGCAAAGACACTTTTTTTAATTATATGTTTTCCATATTAGTCATTTGATCAAATTTGTCTTCAAGTAATATTTAATATAATTTAATATTCTATTGTATTTTCGTAGTTGGAATAGTCCAAGAGTTTTATCGAAAGAAGAAATAAAAGTTCAGTCGAAAGGAATTGATAAAAATTTGGAAACTGAGAGAGTTGAGAATAATGTTTGGTGGCCGTGGAAAAACTATGACGATTGGTTGAATGGTAGGGGATTAAAATCAGAGCAACCAAAAAAATCAGAAAAAAAGATTCAAAAGGAAAAAAAACATAAAAAGAAGAACAGGAAAAATGAAAGAAAAAAAAAGAAGTCAAGACCTGGTAAAAAATTAAACACCGCAGTCGAAAGTAGTGATAAATTCTCGGTCAATGCCGAAGACAACGAAATCATAAAAAAAGAATCAATACCCGAAATACTTTACAAAGCATCGCCGATTGATATAATTTTAAGAAATTCTTCTTTAGTTCCAGCCTTGGTGAAATATTCATCCAGAAATTATACTTATGGTACGATTGCATTCGTTAAATAAATTATATGATATTATGATGTGAAACAATACGTAGTCAGTATACAAAATTAAGTATAACGTATTACAGATAATTTTAAATTTTATTGATAGTTCCAATACATAATAAATTCAGTAAATAAGTATTTCAATTATTTTCTTAACACATTTATTAGTTTTGGTTTAACAAAAACTATTTTTATATGTTGCTTTGTACGATTAAATAATTTACTTTTCATTTCATCCATTGGATAAGACTTAAAAGCTTCAAAAATTTCTTTTATATTTAAATGAAACGAAAATAGAATTATATTGTTAGTATAAAATGTAATATTATAACCTATTGTTATATTGATATTAGCTATATTGTTTAAAAAGGAAACACTTGACCAATATTATAATAATTTTCGACTCGTTTATGATTACCAAGCATGTAGATAACATTTCAAACTATACAACCAGTAATACCATTAATAGCTAAGTTATTACAATATAAATTAAAATTTAATACCACCGATAAATGAAACGGAGTCACTCCAATCATACTAAAATAATATATGCAATAACAATAAGATATTTTATAATATAGTGGTGGTTTGCTAGATTTGAGGTATGACAATTATTATGATGTTGACGCGTACCTATATTTCATGATAAACCGTTAAATTCGACCTTCATTATACGTAGGTACATATTATTATTTTATTTTCAGTAAATATTTAATACATGCTACCAGAAATTAAAAAATCGTTTTACTTAAGTAAATTGTTATCCAGAATATCAACTTTATTGACTAAGTGTTATTTATTTATTCGTAAACCAAACCTATAAGTACAAACGTCGATAATACAAAAATGTATATATTATTTGGTTGTAACTTGTTTTTGAAACGGCATGTCCGTATTGTAAGAATCGTTAAAACAAAATACTGATCCAACAATCTGAATGATTTCATGGTCGAGATATTTCATAATAATATATTATTATTAATTATTATGTACAATATAGTTATATGTATAATAAAATTATAAATAACAACTATTAACACTTATAAAAAAACTATTGGTGATAAAAATTTAAATTTATATTTCAAATACTAAATCAACTACGTTCTAAATAATTACTAATATTTACCAAAATGTTACAAGACTATAATATGCATGTAACTACTAGATTACGTATGACGTATCAATAATTTAGTATCGGTTTGGCCGTGGACCATTATCTACCCAAACACGGTCAAGGACTTCATTAGTCACTTTAATAAACGTTTTTCAGTCCCTGATGTAATTATATTTTAAATTCCATTTTTATAATGCACTCGTTAGTCGTTCTGATAAAATCACGCATGCGCTTCGTATTGAGAGGCCCAAACATTGTTTTGCGCCTTACTCATTTCGTATAGATAACTTATTAAACGTGTATTTAATTTAATTTCGTTGGATTTTATAAATAAACAATAAGATTATGTTCCAGTCATGCTTAGTCTACCGGTGAATGGTAGTAATAATATTGTCTAACCTTTAATGTCTTAATGTTTTGTGTAGATGTAAACGAATGCTTGACAAATAACGGAGGTTGTGAGGGACTTTGCATCAACACTCCAGGATCGTACAGGTGTCATTGTCCGCCCGGTTTTATGGTAGCTGACACCAAATGCGAAGGTAAACAAATAAATATATAATAATATGTAGGTATTGGGTACTCAACGTTTTAAAAAAAAATTTAAAACTCCACAAACATATTTAAGGAAGGTGTGTGTAGGTACATTATGAAATAATAATAATAGTACCTATATTATACAGATCAAAGAAACGTGTACAAAAGACATATCTATAAGATAAAATACAAAGAGTTAGCAAATCCCCAATAAGCATAGCTTAATATGGTGAGTTTTATTTGAATTCAATTATTGATAATTTAATACGATTTCTAAAAAAATTTACAAAATTACATCATATGTTATTAATCGATAATCTTATATCTATCTATTTGTGTAAGATCAACATTTTTTGAGTACAATTTCAAATCTTTTATATTTAAATATATTGTTTTAATTAGGTAATAACTAAATTGGTAATTTAAACTAATATATGAAATTACCACCTATATAATATAATATTATATATTATATCCACATAGACAATAATATTATAATACTAATATACCTAATAATCAATATGTAGGTACACAGAACCGTCTCATCGTGCAGTACATGTCAGTAATTATTTAATACTAATAAATATTTTTGAAACTAATTAGTGTATTAATTAAGATCCACACATTCACCATAATTTTAGGTAATTTTTGGTTTATCTAAAATAAAATATATTTTTATTATTATTATTATCGTGATAGTTAAAAATAAAAATCAGCAAACTGTATAGTAATATCAAACATATTATATTAATTATACTTACCTATTAATTATTATTATTATCAATTATGTACATATTTTAAAAGTTGAATTATTAATTTCCATTAAGTGATCATGTAAGCTAAGTCTTAAAGTAAAGGCAGGAGAGGTGGGTAGTAGAGTATGTATCATACTATCATATTATAATATAATATAGGTATATTATATATCATGTATGGTTGGGTATTACGAATCAAACGAAACGACATTCTGTATATTTTATGTTATAATACATTGTATCTGATAAATATATTAATATCGGATTGAGATTTAGATTTAGAAACTATTTTAAAATAAACACTTTAATTAAGTACACCTATATCTATAGAATAGATAATAAATACAATTTTGTATGAAAATCTAAATAAACCAGATAAACAATCGATTGACGCGATATCTTCGGGTGCTTAAATCAATACAGATTATAATATATAAAACTACATCAGACTTGCAACCGACTATCCCGTATGGTGCATTGTGCATACTATAACATAATATTATGTACATTTATAACATAATAATATACATGATGTATACAATATGTATAAATTATGAACGTCCCACGCCCGCACTTTATTTATCTATTTATATGTCTATATATATATATATATAATTATATATTGATTACCACGCACTTATACGCGATCTCTTGATGTTCGCCTCGACGACAAAGACTCGTTCGAAAACGTGTATTATATATAAATAATATAATATAGGTATATTTATTTTAAGTAATATTTTGCATATAATTTAATTTTATATACATATGTTATAATGGTTCACAAAATAGTAAATGCTGAATCGTCGTTTATGTCGCACTGAGTGAATTTACTTAGGTTGACGGTACACAGGATAGTCACACTAGTCACAGGGCATAGGTAGTTTGTGGTTGTACACAAGTCAAGTTTTGAAGTTTGGATCGTGAATTAGAGACTAACGACAGTAAACTCTATATTTTCAACATAATATATAATTTTGATTCGACTTACTAGGAAAAAAAACAAAAAACAAAAATGACCTGCATTTCGATAGGTACTAAAACAATTTGTCTTCCTGCTATTTAATCAGACTCATGACCGACAACAGATATTTAGTAGGTTTGGTTGAATTTTGTTTGTTATCGTGTTCCATAAAAACGTATTTTATCTAATTTTCAACAATCAACAAGTACTGAATTAAAATTTAACAAAATAGAATGTCCGTATAATTATAGGTAATAAATATAACTATATAAGTATAGATAGTAAATAGGTATATAGTTAAGGTTATGTTAAAATGTCATTTGTCAAATGTATTATGTTTTACACTTGTACAGTAGTAGAATACAGAGAGACAAAAGTAATGCATTTGATTATCTCCATGTAGAATTTACTCATGGGGCCATATGGATGTATTTTTATTTTTTGATCGTGTAAGAACGGGTGATTGTTTTCCCTGTAAGAATTTGTAATAGTAACCGTTTACCTGATATTTATCGTGGGAGAACTTAGCGAACCCCGTACATATAATTAGACTAGACTATAGTAATATAGTGCCTACCATGAATTAAGATATAATATACAGGATACGGAACGATTAAACAAAACCTTATCAGTTAATGACAAAAGCTTCTTCAAATTTGATTCAAATTTGACTCATAGGCCATAGCGATGGTCGATGTGTAATCGACGGTAGATAGTTTTTATACTATTCATGAATTAGGATGGATACATATTATATCTACCGTGAAAGCGCTTGTAACCAAATTTGTAATTGAGAACATCTAACTTCAAATTAACATTGATAGCGAGGTATCGTTCCGTATCCTGTATATCTTAATTCGTGGTATCTACTTAGATTGCATAATAATATAATACCGGATCAGTTTCCAAGGTTTTGTGTCCCATACATCTCACGCACCCTCGAATGCGCGTATTACTGAAAAGTGCCTATAAGTACTCATGTATTTTGCCTGACATGTGTTTCAGACATTGATGAATGCTTGTTGCGCAACGGGCATGGGCCATGCCAAGGCGCGTGCACCAACACCTGGGGCGGTTACAAGTGTTCGTGTCACGGCATACCAGGCACACGGTTAGCCAACGACCGGCACACTTGCGACGACGTGGACGAGTGTCGGGACGGCACGGCTGGGTGTTCGCACCAGTGCATCAACACGGTGGGATCCGCGTTCTGCGTGTGTCCGGATGGATTGCAGTTGGACGACAGCTGGAAAACGTGCGTGGACGTGGACGAGTGTTCGGACCCAGAGCTGCAGCAATCACCGGACATTTGCTCTGAAAGTGGTTTGAAGTGTCTCAACACGTACGGCTCATATAAATGCGTGACGTAGAGTGCCTAATGCCTACATTATGAATTACGCTATATAGCCTATATCATTATAGATGCCGTACGATGCTATAATATAACCAAATTCAATATTAATACAACACTGCTAGCAGCATACGCACCATAATTATCTAAAACTCACCAATATTAATTTACTAGTCAGAGTGATGTTGTTGTTGCAGTTGTTGTTGTTGTCTTTTGGCTATTGTTATTAATTATTATATAACCCATTGGTCCCATATTGTTATTACTATTATTATTATTATTATCATTTTTTACACCATCATTTGTTAATTTTTTTTTTTTTTGCTCTTGATATTTTACAAATGTTTTTAATACTGTATACTGTACACGCACTAGCCTTGTAACTCAACGACTAATAATTACTATTAAAATAATAATATATATATATAATTATGTTTGTCACAATATTTATTAAATATATTTGATATTTAACCCGTTATTTAATCAGCAATATAGTTTTTTTTTTTTTTTTTTTTTTTTTTTATTAAATAAAACAAAAAACATTGTTATATCTACTACCTTTAAGCAGAGCTTGAGTTGGTAGTAGAGAGTTACATGTTACAACTTAGATTATATACATATATTAATTACTAATTACAGCGGCAATTTGATTAAATCGACATTCGACAATTAATTAAACATAAAAGAGGAAGTACAAAAGAATGAAATTAATAACACCATAATTACACATAATTGTACATACATAATATTTAGACATTCCTTAAAAGCTAGAGATTATATTTCTTGTAGAAGCCAATTGTAGATTATTATTTTATGATTAGATTTGGGATTTGATCTTATAGTTTTCTTGATAGCGAAAGGCATTGCATTGAAGAAAGTTGGTCCTAAATAGTCAACGAATCTTTGTCCAATAGTTTTTTTAGTGTAATTATTTGAGATGTCATATGTTCTATTACGTTTTGAATATACAATATCATTTACAGGAGTATTTTTAATAAGAAACATGATCGCGAATTTTTTGTAAAGTAAATTAATAGGTAGAACACCCAAGCATTTATAATTTAATTTAGTTGATCCTTCTAACGTGTTTTTGTCAAGGCATTTACGAACTATTTTGTTTTGCTGTATAGTTAAAGGCTTAATAGCATTTTCATATGTACCACCCCAGGCAATTATACCATATTGAAAAATAGCTTGGTAGAGAGACAGGTATACTATACGCATAGTATCTGGTGTGATTATTTTCCTCAAACAATATATTTTGTACATAATTGTCCTTAGGCGCATAGTCATACTGTTTATGTGGAGTTTCCATTTCATATTTTGGTCGAAGATTAGGCCTAGGTATCTTACCCTAGTTACCCTTTTTATTTTGCAACCATTATGGTTGCATGTATTATCTGTGATATCGATTTCATCAAATGGGCTTTGACAGGAGTAAATAGAAAAAGCTATAAATTCTGTTTTATCTAAATTTAAAGTAATTTTTTTTGTATTTAGTTTTCGAATAATTTGGTTTAGTCCAGTAGATGCTTTAGCATAGACTGAGTCCCATGATGTATCAGAGTACAGTAAACATGTATCGTCTGCATATGTAAATATTGAACCATCCGTCTGCAAGTCACAAATGCTGTTTATATATATTATAAATAAAATTGGGCCTAAAACACTTCCTTGAGGAACCCCACAGTTAAATACAAGTTCTTTCCCCAAAACATCATTTACCATAACCATTTGCATTCTGTCCTTTAAGTAACTTGCAAACCAGCTTAGACTGTTATTTTTTATTCCAAAATTTGGTAATGTTTTTAACAAGATTTTATGGTCGACAGTATCGAATGCTTTAGCGAAATCTAGGAAAATCCCTATAGTTTTATCACCACGATCCAGTCCTTTATATATATGCCTAGAGACACTATAGATTGCATCCACAGTACCTACACCTGGCCTAAACCCAAATTGGTTCTTAGAGAGAAGATGATGTTTTTCCAGGAAACTCATTAATCTAGATTTCACAATTTTTTCTAAAAGTTTAGAAAAATTGCATATCATTGAAATTGGCCTATAATTACTCATACTTTCTTTGTTTCCATTTTTGAAGAGTGGTTTGACTATCGCTAGTTTAAATTTCGTTGGAAAAATACCTTCTGATAAGCTCATGTTATATATATGTGCTAGAGGACTAGATATAAAAACTGAAATGTTTTTTAGTAGTTTGACAGTTATTTTATCAAAGCCTGAGGCAGTATCATCTTTTAAACTGTTGATTAAGTCGATTATTTCATTGCTATCGACAGGAATTAGAAACGAGGCATCAAAAGATGTTTCATATGGTTTATTAGATTCTATCGGTTCAGTACTACTAAAGTTATCCTGCAATTTCTGTCCAATGGAAGTGAAAAATTCATTAAATGTATCAGCTGCTTTTTTTGGTTCTGTTTGTGCATTTATGATTAAATCATTGACTTTAAGATGTTTTATAGTTACTTTATTTTTCAAGTTACTCCCCCCTGTAATATCTTTTATTAATTTCCAAGTCAATTTGGGATTATTTGAACAAGAATTGAAGACATAAATTAGTTAGGTTTACAATAACTGAGGTTCATATAGTTAATTATATTATTTACATAAAATACGTAAAAACACTATATTCAATCATTTAAACCATCAAAGCGTCAAAAAATTGAGTATAGGTCATGCTTATTTAACATATTATTTTATGTATAAAATATATTATTAAATAAATGTTTTATTTAATTTTCTCTGTACGTTTGAAATAAATACCGAATCAATTTCATTAATTATTGCTCTATAATATTTATAAAGTCAATAAATGAATACATCGATTTTAATAAACTAAATCTGAAAAGGGAAGTTAAAGTTAATTTAGGCTAATATAGCGGTCACTTGGTATCAAGGGTGTAATTCAGGGGGGATTAGGGGAATAGATCCCCCCACTACTTTTTTTTTTAATGCTAATATTTTGTTCAAAGTATTTTTAATGAAGATGTTCGCTAAAAACCCATATCCCCCCCGAAACCAAATTCCTAATTACGCCATTGCTTGGTATACCTAACATAAGAGTTTATACAGATACAGTATTTAACTAAGAAAATTTAAAATAATGTTAAGAAATCTATACAATATTGTATTAAAAAATTTAATTAAAATGTACAGTGACATCCACTTCAATAAATATAAAACTAGAGCCTGGTGTTGCTTGGTGGTTAAGAAAGCTCAAAGACCAATTGAAAAAATATTCTATGTTTCAAAGTTCAAATAGAATCGAAACTACTATACTAAAAATTAAACTTTTTTATGTGTTATTAAATATAAAATAAAAGATTTATTAACTAGTACAAAAATATTCATCTCATCAAACAACCTCTTACTCTAACATACGAATAATGGTTATGGTAAAAATTAATTATAGCATTGATTATAAAATAAATAGTATTTATAATCAATGATAATAGTTGAACATATTATTTTTTATACATAGCTCTTTCAAATGACTCTATTTAACGTTTCTTTTGGTTTACCGTTTTCAATTTCAATTACTGCCCGATCTAAACAAAACATATTTATTTAAATAATATATTTATATTAATATACTAAGTACAATAAATCGGGTGATTATTTTATACCTAATTGAACATTCATTATTTCAAACACTATAAATGTTTTAAAAAAAAGTTTTTACATGATTTCTTCGTTAAAAACAACTTTAAAAAATATATATAGGTACCTTTATTTTAATATTTTTTAATTTAATTTAATTTAATTTAGGTTTTTACATTTTTGAACAGTTTTAATTTCATATTCCAAACCAAAATATTTTTCTAAGTATACTTAGTATACTGTATAAGTATTTCAATACATAAAATTCGAATTTAGGACAAGTAGTTTATAAGTAATAAAGATTTAAAGTATAGACGAACCGAGTGAAGTGGTAGGTATTTCGCAAAATGTTGGTCCACTACTCACCGCTTAACTGTACTTTAAATACTTATTATACCTATAACACATAAACTACTAAAAAAAATACTGTCAAAAACATTAATACTTTTCGAATAATGAGTGTTCTATGTTAAATGAATCACCCGATATAATATGTTATATTATATGTATGTGTTTACATTGATACCTTTAACGTCAAATAAGTGAAATTACATGTACCTCATTTTTATGCATACATAGCCATTACAATACATTATACAGTCAGGGCCATAAAGCTGACCAGGTTCCTAAGCCAATTAAAACGCGTAAAAAATAATAAAATCCTAGATTATCATAGTATGCACACACCATCGTTTTGCCACTTGTGTACGCCTATGTTGTCCAAAAACAGAGGTTCCGGCCATGATACAGGAACGGTATTCTTTTTTGAAAAGTCCTCTATTACCTCCAAATACAAAGGACAATCTTGTACAGACGGAACTTCGTCATCTGCAACAACAAAACGGTTGTACAAACATAGATAAATTATATATTACTAATTTCCTAGTTAAGTATAGGTATATTATTTTACCCGTCACTCGTACAGTAGTCCTACATGATGCAATATCCGTGTCTTCATCATCTCGAACAGTGTAGGTGATTATATACAAACCTGGTACCAAAGTTCTCGATGAGTTTTTAGACCAACCGGAACTCAATGTACCGAACCTGTATAATGTACATTGTACCTACATGTATTAAGTTTGAAGTTAACTGAACTTTACATGAAGCAATTTCTATACAATCGAGTATTTGAATATTATAATATCATATATTATGTAGCATACAACACCTGTTCCAATCGTAATTCGTGTTTGGTTGTTCCACTTCAAAATTTATAAATTTTTCACCTTCAGCTAAACTTATGTTCTTGTCCGGTGGACACTTAATATAACATTCCATTTGGTACATCTATTATTTCATCATAATTAAATATAATTTTAGTTGTTATCCCACTATTATAATAATATAATATATTACTTACAGTCATGGGTGTCGTTTTGGGAACACATAGTGGTTTTACACCTACCCAATGTCCATTACTGCAATAAAGCTTGGAATGTGAAGGGTTTTCGAACACATGCCCTTTGATACAATGGTAAATCGCTTCTAAATATTTGTTTTTTGGATCTATAGTATTTTTATTCCTATGAAAACACAATCTTGATTGTAATAATAATGCAATAATAACGATTATAACCAATGAGTGTAGCGCAACTATGACAATCACACTTGGTATACATATTTATAAGGTACATGACAAGACAAAACAAATTGCTAATAATAAGCTTAAAATGTCTATGAAATAAAAATTAATTTTTAAAAAGATTTTTTGACAACACTATCGATTACTTATAAGAAACCTTGTTTAAACTCTAAAGTCTAAATCCTTAGTTATATAAACGGAACATTATATACATTTTTACTACAAAATAATATGCCAATTGTGTGATCTAAGTTGAAGTTTAAACTTTAAATGTTTATTTACAAATGTTGTCTATGTATCTTTTGAGCTGCTATTATAACACCTTATGAAAAATCTCGTATTAGCTATTGAAGTTGTTCGACAAAAAAAAATATTTTTTATAAATATGTATTCATAGAAAACAAAAATATTTTTTTTTGAATATCTGTTAATCGCCAAAAAGAAAATCGAATTTAATGAAAACAGGGTTTGCGTTTTTCCATTTTACCTCACAAATGCACCAACAAGATTCACTTTCCCACCAGAAAATAAACTGGAAGTTGAAAATAGAAGCATTAATTCGTCTACTTATAGTGTACACCGACACAAAGAAAAAAAGGTGCTCTGCTGTACAGTAGGTTAAGTGGGTCACTGTATAATGGATGGTATTAAATTTGAATTCAATGATATAATATCATTGTATAAGAAAAATGATTCTGAGTGAAGACGGTATGTCAGTCTAGGTATAAGACATATTATATACTTATCTATGGTATTAAAAAAAATTGACCTATAATAGGTATATACATATAATAAATTCCAAATTAATCATATCACAATATCCATTAGGTACTTATAACGCGTTATACATCGACAACAAACCCTGATACTATCATAGATATATATAATAGTGTACTTTAGAAGTTTCAAGTACCCACGAATAATATTATACAATCACAACAAAATAAGTAAAATAGTTGTTATTCTAGGTTTTTCAATATATAATTTCGCCCAAATTTGAACTTAAAATGACTATAAAAGTATAGTAAGTATGTATTTTTAGATTTTTCGGTAACAGAATTAACTACTTACGTGGAATCTTGTTTTAAATTTTCAATCCTTAGATATAAAAGTTGAACATTTTACAAATTTTTTACCACAAAATAATTATTCTTTTTTAAATTTGATAAATATTGTCAAAATTCGATCTTTAAATGCTTAAAAAAAAATTGTGCCTATTTGTGTCAAGGCTCTTAAACAGAAAAAAGGTGGGCAAGTGGGTGTCGCTCTGCTGTACAGTAGGTTACAAGTGGGTCACTGTATAATGGATGATATTAAATTTGAATTCAACGATATAATATCATTGTATAAGAACACGATTCTGAGAGGAGACGGTATGTCAGTCTAGGTATAAGACATATTATATACATATCTATGGTACTAAACCAAAATTTGACCTACGTATAATAGGTACCTATAATAAATTCCAAATTAATCATATCGCAATATCCATTAGGTACTTATAACGCGTTATACATCAACAAAAACCGTGATACTATCATAGATATAATATATAATAGTACACTTTAGAAGTTTCAAGTACCCACGAATAATATTATTCAATCACAACAAAATAACTAAAATAGTTATTCTAGGTTTTTTAATATGTAATTTGGTCCAAATTTGAATTTAAAATGTCTGTAAAAAATAACTGTGTTCATATATTTTTTAGATTTTTTGGTTACAGTATGAACTATTTATGAGAACCTTTGTTTTAAATTTGCAATCCTTAGCTATAAAAACTGAATATTTTATAATTTATTAATCACAATGATTGATAATTTTTGAGATTTTGATAAATTTTGTCAAAATTCCAACTTTAAATGCTTATAAAAAAAAACTGTGCCTATGTATTTTTAATATTTTTCAACTGATATTGTTACAATATATCAGGAGCCTTGTATTAAATTTTTACACTTTTTGGCCCAACAGATCAAACTTTATTTATATTTGTAGAAAAAAAAATTAAAAAAATTGAAAGCTGTAAATGTGCGTAAACAGCTCAAAAAGAGTCAAAATATTTTCAAAATTGTGTGGTGTATAGGAAATGCTAGTATAAACATTCAGTGAAATTTTCATGTATCTACATACTACATGCAGTTATTCGTTTTTGAATTACAACAAAATAAGGAAGTCGCTACATGTGAAATCGAGTGAATATCCAATGTTGTAAAAATTTGAATTTCAAACACTCATTAAAATTTAATTTGACTTTCTTGTAGACATTTTTTTTTTTTTGATAAAGGTAGATAATCTTATAAGGAATCTTGTATTACATTTTAAAATCTTAGATTTAAAAAGAAAAATTTTTACGAATTCTTAACTCAAAATAATTTGCTAATTTTCATGATTTTTCCATATTTTGTCAATTTTTGAACTTTAAATGCTTATAAAAAGAACTGTGACCAAGGATTTTTAATATTTTTCATCTGCCTTTGAAACAATATACTAGGAGCCTTCTATTAAATTTTCAAGCTTTTTTACCAACAAATAAAATTTTATTGATATTTTTAGAAAAAAAAACTAAAAATAAAATGGAAGATGAAAATGCCCCTAAACAGTTCAAAATAAACCAAAATATTTTGAAAATGTTATTGTGTATAGGAAATGCAAATATAAACAGCCAGTGAAAATTTCATGTATTTTCGGTCATTTGTTTTAAAGTTACACTAAAAACCAAATTCAATTTTGTGAAAAATCGATTTTGAGTAAAAATTCCCGTTTTTCCTTAATTTTTCTTTTGTTTTTCTTGACGCTTTTGAAAATTACTGGGAATTTTAAATTTTGACCTCCTCAATGCAACAACGATATTCACTTTCCAATCGAACAAGATACTGAAGTCGAAAATCGAAGCATTATTTCGACTACTAATCGTGCACACAGACACAAAAATAAAAAATAAAAAAAAACACACATCATTGTAAAATCAATACATTCATCGTTCCACTCAGAATCTAAAACACACATCATTATAAAATCAATACATTCATCGTTCCACTCAGAATCTAAAATTACACATCAATGTAAAATCAATACATTCATTGCTCTGTTCAGAATCTAAAAATAAATACAATATACCTACTCATACTTCAACTTTGTAGATTACAATAGTTTTATAACCTAATGTTAAATCTTAATAGGTATATACCATATTATGTATCATAATAATAATAACGAATAATGACTATAAATAGACAAATAATCTAATTAAACTATACAATTATTAATAATTATATAAAAAACATTTAAAATATTTGAATACAATATATATATATATATATATTATACATAATAAACCTATACCTAAGTGCAATAAATTGCTGTATTTAGACAAAATTATTTCAATCTCATAAAAAACATGATTCTTACTTGGAATACTTCACCACATGTGCAAATGGTAACTTAGGTGCTCTCAAAAAAATTTTGCCGTGTCGTTTTCTAAATAAACAGCTCAAATCATAGTCTCCTATTGAATATTCCTTAGCCGAGTCTCTAATCATATGTTTCGGAAGTTGAAATGTACCAAGTCCTATTAAATGGATATATGAAATCGACAAAATAAAAAATTATTTGTATTATTCGTAATAATATTATTTAAATTTTACCTGATGTCTGCTGAAGTGTTTCAGGTGTTTCAGTATCTACAGATTTATTTTTTAACCGCTTTTGGTTATCCTGAATTCTCCTGTTTGTGTCTAGTTTCAATATACGTCTAAAATGTTTAAATATAATGATTTAATCCAAATCTTATGAATATATTACAGAAACAATAATACAGCTGATAAAATTATTATTTATTTACAACATTATGAAATAATGTCTTATGAATTCATAACTATGCATTAATGCCGTATAGGTACCTACCTGAACGGAAACCAACCTTGTGCCGAACTGATAATATTGTTGTTGTGACCTGCAATGTATAAAAAAAAAGGGTAAGTATGATAATATTGCATAAGTATAAGGTTGTTATTCAAATGGGATAATATTATATTATACACATATGCTGACAAATATTTTAGATATTATATGTTCCCCGCTGATTTTTGTATCAGTGTAATCTAATAATATTAACGTTTTATTGATACGCGTAATAGTAATAACAAACAATAATAATAAAATACATCCACTTACCAGAACTCGTAGGCCGTGTACACGACGGCACATGTCCGGACCATTCCCCTTCGATACACGTGTGCTTTGTTTGACCTGTCAGAACGTATCCAGCATCGCATTGGTACACCTCCACAGCCCTTCTCCAATTTTTGGATGCCGTGAAAATTGCTTGACCGCTATCTGGTCGTGGTCGGGGTTCGCAATCCAACGATTCGGAAGAAACAAACGTAATGACTACAACATTAAGTTTTAAAAAAAAATCAAACAATCTATACACCTACGCAATAGCTGCAGCTATAATAAATGCAATAATGTAATATCGCCGGAGTATTTTTACAGCACTATTGCACTCGCCCCACATGTTTGACTATTATTACAATGTTTTTATATAATATATTTCAATATTTGTATGTCTTTTTAATGACAAATACAGAATACCGTTGAATACAGAATAGCGTAAAAATATAAATATTAGGTACCTACATAAGCTGTGTAAATAGGCATAGTCGCGTGTATTTATTATTTAGTACCATTGGATTTATTAAATACTTATGAAACATTATACGATATTTTAAATGATAGTTAATGGACAAAACAAAATAATGGTAATAATAACAGATGTGCGTAACGGATAGTAAAATATTATCATGTTTATAATTGTCTCTGGTTCCGTCATTGTAGTCCCCCTCCCCCTTACGTTGTCAAGAACTTTCCATCTCCGTATATATTATTTTTAAAATTTATAAGCATCAATATATTAGGTATGTTATAAATAATAATAATATGATATTACGATAAGGTATTAAGGTGATATGATTTAAATGGCATAATATTATGGAAATATTTCAAATATAATATCGCCGCCTACTACCTATTAATTAAATAAATTTCAAACTTTAATAAAAATGTCTTTATAATTAATTACAATTATGTATAAATAAGAGTAAATAGAGGGACAGCGAGTGGCCGAGAGATCTTAGGCGCCGGCTGCGGCGCAGCCGACAATAGCTCGATACCTCGGTCATGGGCGGCATTTTTATTCAGGCAAGTCACCACCTACCAGGGCATGGCAGATACCTACGGGTGCCCAATCAAAAATTCTGCTAAACAAACACACACGTGTTCCCCCCTACCGACATAAGACCCTACAAAACCATACAGCTACTGGCCATACTCGCCGGGCTTAAGATCAATTAAAACAAAAAAAATACAGAAATAGTCTACATCCCATAAGGCCATAACATAGAACAAACTAACAAAGCCTTTATTTTTTTTAAATATTACTAAACTATTAGGTACCTTCAACATAATTTTAAATTTTAATACATATTTTGAATTATAAAATTAGTTCAATATCCTGATTTCCCTCTCCATAGTAAAATGTCTGTACGCCTTTTGAGTCATCATTAGTCGTTACTTACTCAACACAATGTAGACGAATTCAGTAGGTACTTTATTTTTACCTTATAAAAATGTGATCTCACTTACCGTTTTGGTACCATATAATTTGTACGATTAAACAACGAAAAAAAGCTAAAGCCTATAATGCAGACAAAGTTCAACAATACGGGTTACGTTATTAATTAAATCACTTATTCTACGTTTTCTCAGAACTAAAAATAATATTATCCATTTTTTTTTTAGAATTTAAATCTGTGCAATGTGCATGACGTGTTGGTGTAATATCATTATATCAATAATTCGAAACTGAACAACCGTATACTCCTTTCGCATGCCATTTAATAGCTATACGCGGCAGAGTGTAATGCAATAGGATGTTGTACGGATTCACAATTTCAACGATGAACGAAGAATATAAAAATCATACACTTCACAAAATTAGAATTATTTCTTTAATCTATAATATAATATCATTAACTTTTTAGTGTTTTTAATGTGGGTGTATTCGTGGGTGCTACGATGTACCACGTTATTAATTACTTAATTCCACTACTGATTATTGGTATGTATATTATTATTTTTTTTTTATATTAATTAATTTTTACTACGTGTTTCCAAAACACTTTTACAATTTTGATTATTTGTTTGAATACCTGTATTTTTATGTTAAGCTATACTTTTTTAATGCTGTCAAACATTGTTTATAAGCATATAACCTTATCTCGTCAATAAATGTAAACGTTAAAGTCTCTTTTATCCTCAAAGAAATTATTAAAATTCTAATAGGTACTATGCAATAAATATACACATTACACACAATATCTAAACGAAAATAGGTATGAGAGGATTCCTCAATTAATACCCTATATATGAGTATTATTATAAATGTAAAATAATATATTGTATTGATACTTAATAGTCAATAGTAATGCTTAATAGTCATTAGTCCATCATTTTTTTAACAATTTTTCAGTAGGTATATAATATAATAATATTATGTAATTTAATCTATTGTTTTCTATCAATAACATGTGTATGTAAACAAGAAACTTTATCATGTGCATTTTAGTTCATTAAATTTGCCTAAAAATGCAAAATCTCGAGATTTTCACAAAAAAGAGAGAATATTTATTTTATTTTTAAACAGATACCACAGTACTAAACTTTCCACTATTAAAGTAAACTTTGACAATTTGATTCATAAGCCAGTCTCAAATTAATAATTAGTAACTATAGTAAGTAATGTAACTATAGACTATATTATTGAAATTAATAATTATTTGTTAAATATGACGATAATATAAAGATGTTATAAAATGTTTGAAAATAAAAGATCAACATCAAATAAAAGATCAACTAAAATTGTATAAGATAATATGTTTATAAGATTTAAGTAATATTTTTTAATTTGTTTAATAGTGACTAAAAACTTTTATTTTCTATGATCTTTCTTAAAATTGTGCTACCATTTTAATATGCTGTTCAAAATTATGATATTTTAATACTCAATAAATCAATTTAACTAACTGACTAACTTAATCAAAACTTAATTCAATGACAATCAGAAATCAAACTAGTAGTTTTTCCTAAAAATAACTAACATAAGTTTTTAAATATATAATTTTACCTGTGTTTGCTAATATAATAAATTCGATGACAATTCTAGTAAATTCCATAATTATACACCACTGTGAGAAGTGACCACGTGAAAAACAAAATCAAACAACTGGTATGAGTATGACTGACACGCATGATACCTCTCTACGTAAAACCACAAAGAGCCCGTCTGTCGGGATTTAATATCATTTCCATTCCGCCATCCCCACCCTACGGTTTCCGATCTACGAAACATACATGACCAGACGTACATGACATTTATTTAAAATAAAATACACTTTCAACAAAAATCAAAAAATAGCATTCAGGTTTAAAATAGTGTAACTAATATAGCTTAAAAATAAAAAAAGGATGTCGATATAGTGTACAGTAGGTTACAAATGGGTCACTGTATAATGGATGGTATTAAATTTGAATTCAATGATATAATATCATTGTAATAATATCATTGTATACGAAAAATGATTCTGAGAGGAGACGATTTGTCAGTGAGGATATTTTATATTATGTTTATACCTATTGTTATTACTTATTATTATTTATTAATACAAGGTAGCCGGTAATTTGGATTAATATTATAAAATTACAATTTACAACAAACTAACCAAAATCGTTATTCTTGGTTATTTAATATGTACATTCGTCTAAATTTGAACATAAAATAACTATAAAAAAAAAAAATGTTTTTACATTTTTATATACAGAATAACTACTTACCTGTATGGAACTGTGTTTAACATTTTTAATCCTTAGCTATAAAAATTTAACATTTTATACATTTAAAACTACAAAATCATTTTACAATTTAAAACTTTATAAATGTTGTCAAAAATTGAACATTAAATGCTTATACAAAAAATTATGACTATGTATTTTTAAAATTGTTTAACAACTTTTGTAGGTAACAATATATCAGAAGCCTTGTATTGATTTTCACGCTTTTTAACCCAACAAATAAAATTTTATTGACATTTATAGAAAAAAAAACTAAACGAATTGTAGACTGAAAATATCCGTAAGCAGCTCAAAACGAGTCAAAATATTTTGAAATTTCTATCAAGTATAGGAATTGATAAAATAAACATATGGTGCAAATTTCAAGTTTTTGAATTACAGCAAAATAAGAAAATCGCAACATCAGAAATCGAGTGAATATCCAATCTTAAAAAGATTTAAACTTCAAACGTTCATAAAAATTTAATTTGACTTTCAGGTAGACATTTTTTTTGTTGATTAAAGTAAATAACTTATGGGAATATTGAATTACATTTTCAATCTTTGTTACCCAACAAATACAATTTTATAGACATTTATAGAAAACAAAATTTTAAAAATTGGAAACTGAAAATGTCCTTATAAACAGTTCAAAATATTTTGAATATTTGATAGTGTATAGAAAATGCTAATATAAATAACTGGGGAAAACTGCATGTCAATTGTTTTAGTCTTACAATAAAAACCAAAATCGATTTTGAGTAAAAATTCCTGATTTTCCTTCATTTTTGTGATGTTTTCCCCGGCGTTTTTGAAAAATGTTATTAATTTTTTTACCACTAAAGTACCAACTACATTCACTTTTCTATCAGAAAAGATACTGTTAAAGAAAATCTAAGCATTTTTACTGCCCTAAAAGGTGATAAGAGACAAAAAAAATTTTAATAAAAAAGAAACACACATCATTATAAAATCAATACATTCATCGCTCCACTAAAAATATAAAATAAATTCCATAAATAAATAAAACATATAAGAAGGTAAATGTAATTAAAATAATATCTTGGATGAGTATTTACAATTATACTTCAGTAGTTCAGTCAATTGATAAATTTAAATGACCCAACAAATAAAACATTTGAATAAAAAAAATTACAAAAAAAACATAAACACACGCTTATAATATAACAAATCTAATATAAGATAATAATAAAAACATAAATCAATAAGTAATGTGTATAAACGTGCTCTTGTACTTATTTTATAATTTCGAGTTCCTAGATTTTTACTAACTCCTGTATGTATTAGTAACAGAAAGTTTACAAATGTCTTAATACAATAGACAATTGGCTAAAAACAAATCTCCTAAGTTAATTTTCTCAAAATCAATTTTTATATAATGTAAATAATTAACATAGGAAGCTAATATTGAATAATATGAAAAAATAATACTACATTCCGCTGCACAAAAAACTAATCAATTGATTGAATCTGCACAAAAAAATTTAAAATATTATTCAGTTACACTTAAAAATATTTATAAAATAACGATAAAAACTATTTTCTCAATAATGAATATATTAAATATATGTGGCCATCAAAAGACACATGAAACGTTGATCTAATCAATCATTCTTGACAGTATACCATTTTGTAAGATAGCTTATAATTTATTATTAATTATTCGTTAGACATTACTTAAATTGTAAAATTGAAAAATACTTGAAATTATTTACTAAATTTCTTATCAAATAAACTAAAATCCTAAAATCACTCTCGTCAGCTAGGTACTTTAAATTATAATTTAAATATTTTTATTTTAAAGAAAATTATTTAATAAATATAAATAATACATACATCGTTTTTATAATTAAAAATATTCTCTTCTTCTTTTTATTATTATCCTCATTCTTCTCCGCCTTTTTCTCACAACAATATTGGATCTGCCATTTTTGGCTTACACCTCCACAGGGCTCTGTTCCCAACCACTCTTTTACAAACACCAGCTATTTCCATATCATTCTCTATTTTGTTTATCCACTTCTTCTTCGGTCTTTCTCTCTTTTATTCTGCATTTTCACCGCCTCTATAAGTCATATTTTCCCATAATGTTATCAAACTATATCTACTATATTTTGTTTATAATTGGTACCACTCCTACCCTTAATAAATAGTTACCTCACAACTGTGTTTTATAAAATCTACATGTTAATCTCAGTGGCATCCTCTGTTGTCACACAAAATACCTAACACTTCTCTCCACTCTATCCATCCACATAATATAATTCAGACTTAATTTATATTTTCCTCCATGTTCTTCCATTGCTTCTTTCATTGCTTCTTCCAACTTGTTCCAAATTACTCGAATATTTTTTTTTGTATTTGTACCTATTGTATCATTCTATCAATACAATAAAATATATTATTTAGGGGAAACCTGGGTAAGATGTAAATTGGGACAATTCCATTTTGCCACACTTGTATTTTGTAAAACAAATACTTTTCTGGTATTTTTATCTTCCTAATCTTCCTCATTAAATATTCATTCCACACTATTTTAAACACATTCAACAAAAAGTTTAATAGATTAATAAAATAAAATAAATTATATTGTTGTTTTCTTTCTTAAAAAATAGATTTTTAATTGTACAGTCTAATTTATTAGGTAGGTAGTCATTGTTTTGCTGGTGACTCGACTAATTTTAATCAACTCAAAATTTATTTTGAACATTATTATTATTAATTATAAATAGTATAGGTCGTTACCATTATTATACGAGTTACGGCAAAGGCCATGGTAATCCGGAAAAATCAACAGGTCCACCTAGTCCGGCGTCGGCTTCCAAGAGACTCATAATGACAGCCATAGCGGCTTCGTCGCTAGTTCCCAAATTAGATAACTGTTGTGGAGACGATGTCATTATTTCACTGAGTATGTTCTCCGAGTCATCTGGAATCAAAAGTATGTGGATTTTACTAAAACTTGAAAGTGTAGTGTGGTTGAAGTTTGAATACTATTAGTATTGGTCGAGTTCATCAGATTCACGCTGTCCTGGATCGCGGTGTACGACGAATCTGTATCTCCACTGCCGCCGTCGCCGCCACTACTCGACAACGTGCCTGGTTCGTTGAGCATCGCCAGCGGTGAACTCAGAAATTGTAAATGGTCATTGTTGGACTCCTGGAAACAGTGGACACTTATACAAATGTTATAATTAATATAAAAACTTTCTCACACACGAGTACACGACATACGATACGCTTAAGTGCCTAACTTTTACTGAACGAGGGTTTTTATTATTTTCTTAATTTTGTTTATTCGGAAATTTCAAGTCTGAAATACGCGGTCTGGCTACTGGTTTGTTTAAATTGTAATAATTAGAATAATCCCGTTACTGGCAATACCTATGCTTAAAATTCCAATTATTGAAATATACCGATAACATCTGTGTTTTCGAGTACCTATTTTATAAATTACAACAATAAATAAATAGTAAATTTGTGAATATTGAGAGTAACTATTAGTTGTATAATGTATTCTATATTTAGTGTGAATCAGTGACGTAGACATGATTTCTGAAAAGGGAATCAAAAAAGCATATGACATACCTAAATGGAGGGGAAAATTGGAAAGTTCCCCTCCCTCTCAAAAGTTTTTACTTAAATAGTAAAATATTTAACAAGGCACAATAAATATAATTTGAATTGATTCGAAATTCATACCAAACAAGATATGGAAGATTATCCATTCCAAAGCCAATAGGGGGGGGGGGGGGATCTGGCCCCCACGTCACCCCTTATATAAGCCACTGGTGTGAATATACATTTTAAGCAATGTTAAATTAGTTCACATGTAATCCAACCTTTTCATATTAAATATTTGATTATCAATGTATAGAATGTAGATTGTAGATAGTTCCATTAAAAATTGGAAATTTAAATTTGAGATTAAGAATTATCAATATGTCATATACTTTTATAATATTCTGAATATTTTTTTTTTTATTAATTAACCAGCGGCAACTTAGGCCATTGGGAGGTCTTTACTGTGGGTTAGGGTACTGTAAGTTTAAACACGTGTGTTTTGAATTGGCAGATTTTTTAGTGGGCACTTGTAGGTATCTGCTATGCCCGGGGGGATGGCGGCAATTCTCTCCGGACACCGTGACTTGCCCGAAGAAAAATTCCACCCACGGCCGGCATCGAACCGACTCCAGTGTGCATCGCAATCGACGCATTAAGCCGCTCGGCCACTCCGTCCCTCATTTTGAATATTATTTTATACAGTCTAGACAAATCAAATTAGATAGGTAGCTAATTTTCCATTTTATTAATAAATGTTTGATTTATCGTAATAAAATAAATAATTATTTAGATTAATTATTGAAATGTCTATAATGGAACCTTATTTATTTATTTGTTTATTTTATTTATATAAAATTAAAAAAAAATAAGATTTTATTATTTGAGTAATATTTTCTTTATATTTTTTTATAATATCCTATTTATGAACACTGAACAGTTATTTCTGCAAAATTCAAACTTTTTAACTTTGTTTTGTTAGTCATATAATGGTACTATAATGCAAATATGTGATTATGTACGTAATTAGAATTTAACTGCTGCACAGTTTTGAAGTTGTAACTGTTTGTCATTTGAAATAAATTAAATTGAAGGTATCGTCTTAAATGTCTAGTATTGCAAAAAACAATTTGGTTTCAGTCTAATAACTCAAGCGTAATTCCACAAACCTAAAATCGGCATAACTTCATATTTAAGTCCCTTCCACAAATAATATTGCATCATTATTTTTTGTTGAATACAATTAATTACAAAAAGGTATAAAACTATTTTTAAGCTTTGTCGCTTTGATAAATACTAACTTTTTCTATTGTATCTTTTAGAGAGTTTGGAGGAGAACTGTCGGTATCACACATTGCCTTCTTTACATCCAAAGTAGTATCAACAATGTGTCTTCCGATTTTGTTTGCTTCTATATGTGAAGTAATCAAGTTTTGTATTTCTCTATTACCCAGCTGCTGTTGGCTTTTTGACAATTGCTGGTCTGTAAAACTATCATGGTTGTTTTGAGATTGCCCCTGTGAAGAACATTCTGATTTGTTGCTGCTATCGGGTTTGAAATCTGTCCTAAGAATAAAAAAATCAGAGTTAAATTCAAAATCAACTATCAATTTATATTAACAGTTTATACCTAGTCAAAATGTTATTAGCAACAATAAATTCTATATCTTTAGTCCAAGGATTTCGAAAACTTTTCCATGAACTCCGTAAGTTTACAAATGTTTTGTTTTTAGCCCGGAATTTATAAATCTATAGTAATAAATATTATTTTAATTTTTTTTAATTCAAAACCTTAGGAATTAACTTTTGCATGCATTCACCTCTGTATCTTTTGGCTTACACTCTTGAAGTGTTGCTTTGTGGATATCTACAAGTCTAGCAATATCATCTTGGTGAAAGTATTCATACATGCTAGTACCTAATAATTCTTGAGGTAAAAACCCAACAATATATGTCACTCTGTAACAGTATCAAGTATTTAAGCATACAATAAAAGTTGACCATAATTAATTATGCACGGTTTACCTTTGATCCACGGACAGAAATTTTCCATCAATTGTGTGTTTTGAGGTAAAACATGGTGGTTTTACTATGTCCGATAAAAGTGAAGAGGAAGCCAAATTATTAATAATTCTACCAACGGCTACCAGACACGATGTATTGTTTGGAGATCCAGAATCCCCTCCAACACCATTACCATCATTATCTTCGTCTAATCCCAAACTCTTCCCAGATACATCCTCACATTCATTTATCTGTGTCCAGGGTTTTAGGTAACCAGTACACTGGATTACATTATATCGTCTATCTAAAGATATAGATACACTACTGTTCAAAAGTATCTTGTTATGTACACTTTGTTAAAAAACTGGTATTTTCAATAATCAAATCATCCTTTTTTATTAATTCAAACTATGGTACCGATCCTTATTACTATTTTAACTTCTATTGAATACACAGTGATAAAATATATAACGTAATTTTATACCTGATTGAGTGTACTTTGATCCAGTAGTCGTGTCTGCTTCTTCTTTTATATCATATACTTTACACTTCATTCGACAAAAAAATGATCTCCTAGCTCCACTACACATTTTTGACAATGTATTCATCATTTCAGCACGGACCGGTAACATTGCTGTTGCAAAAATAATTACCGCCTGTTATGTCTATAATATTTATATTAACATCAAATAAAATAACATAATTTAAACTTACTATTTGCATTGATATATTTATCTCTAGGGCCAAAGTCTGAACAGGAAAGTTGTTCCTTTACTTTAGCTACATCTTTCGGATGGATATAATCGAAAACATTATTCCCAACCAAGTCCTCCTGTATTATACAACAGTTAATAATAAAGTTATATTACATTTTTAACTGTTTCATATTTAAAATGTCATACTTACTGGTATATAGTTCAGAACCTGAGTCACAGATTTCGATATATAAAGTATCTTTCCATGATCACAACTAACAGCGAGTACAAAACCTTCAGCGGCCTGAAATATTTTGGTATTGAAATGTTTTAACTTAAGTATTAAACTATAAACGGTACGGTCTACACTCTCCCCGTTGTACATATTTAGCACAATTGGAAGTGATAAAAAAAAATTATTTACAATGTTTTAAAAAATATATTATTTGTAAAATATTGGTAAAACTATTAATATTCTTTTTTATATAGTTTTGATCAGAGGCGGACTGGCTCGCCGGGTTACTATCCTGTAGCCTGTAGGATAAACATTTATGTAGGGTGCACGGGGCTCTTCATTAATAAGTATCAAGGGGAATAATTAAAGGATAGCCGTCTTAAATCTTTATTACCTTCAACTGTAATTTCTGAATTTTATAATGATTCCTAATTTTATAAAATACTATAATAAATCAATACTCCTTGAAAATATATTATTGGTGAAATCTTAACAGTTGGAATTATGAATTTTTTTTGGTAAAAATACTAGTTGCTCCTCTGAATTTTTCTGAATATAAGACCTTCTACAATTAGAGATCTATGGACTATAGGCTTTTACAGGCCAAGTTCGCTCCTGGTTTTGGTTTTGACTTATAACAATGTATGAACAATTAACTTGCAACTAAACGTTAGTTATCACATGAATATAGTATAATTATATATTAATATGTACATCAGACATCAGTGTAATCTGTGTATTTATATAAATCATGTAAGTACCTATAGTTATAAGTTTATAACCAACTTATATATTAAACTAATATTTTAGATTACCTATAAATAAAACTAAGATTTAAATTATAACCTATAATTAACTGGTATTATAACAACTTATAAGGAATCTGGAGCCTTGTATTAATCTTTTAAGCTAAATGGTCCACCGACGAAACTATTTGATTATTAATATTTATAGAAAAAAAATTTCAAATGTCTATAAATAGCTCAAAAAGAGTCAAAATATTTTGAAAATGTTATCATGTATGGGAAATGGTATTATTAACATTTTATGAAGATTAAAAGTATCTACATTTTTATTCGTTTTAGAGTTGCTATACAAAAATGAAATCGATCTTGTCAAAAACTAAAAAAAACCTATAACTTAAAAGATTTTCGTTTTTTCTTATTTTTTTTTTAGTTTTTTCCTACGCTTTTGAAAACTATTGGACTTTTTTTTATTTTCTGTAAATTCCAATTACAGTTTTTTTTTTTATATATATAATTCAATATTAAACTGTAAATATTGTTTTGTGTATTATGTTTCTCGTGTACAGGTTTTTTCTTTTAGGCACGTATAATAAATATGGAGATAATGGGATGAAAACGGGACTGTTTTCAGTAACCGCCGGACAAAAATTGTCCCGTTCGAATATTTTTTGGGGACAAATGGTCATCCTAAAACTTCTAATAAGTAAACTTACGTGTGTGATTAAAGTTTTCAAATCTTGATCAGATAAAAATGAAGGCTTATAATGACCTTCAGTGTATGAATTAACGGTGCTTCGAATTGTCTTCATATGTTGCACGGCCATCCTGAGTACAGACAGTTTATCTAACTTTCGTGGCATAGTATGACACATTGGTATCATACTAGCTAGCTCGGTAATATACGAGTTCATCTTATCTCTTCTACGTTTCTCAATTTCACTGTGATTATGTCTACAATGAAGAAATATATATGCAAATTAGCTGTTAATTTATAAACTAATGTACTTAAATCATATGTTGTCAATATACTTCTATATATTAACATTACCTACTTATTGTATAAGCTAATCCTAATTTTTTAGCATAAGAGTGAAATGAACATATTATATTTATTTGTATTTACAGTCTGTAGACTTCACAATACAATACGATATGTGATCACTGAAAAAATTAAAACAAATTGACAAAATTTACTGAAAGACAGGAGAGTAATGAATTGCATAATATTAAAATATTTAAATAAAATAATGATGTGAAAGACGTGACAACTGATAGGTGATCTTTAAATTTCAATGCAATGATGACTGTGCGTCTGTGCCACAAAAATATTTAGAAAAAATCAAAAAAGCACCTATCATTGTAAAACAGATAGTCTACCTACTTGAAGATTCTTATTTAAAATGTAATTCACATAGCTTTATGAAAGAAAAATCCCAGGCATAATATTTTAAGTGAAATGTACACATTACTTTTTGTTATTGTCATTTCGAACAGACCTTGAATCATCATTGTTGTCATCATCAAAATCGCTACCACTATATAAACATAAAAAAAAAACGGAAACAAATAACTTGGTATCAATAACTTTAAAAAAATGTATTAAATAAAATCAAAATTTTCTTTACTAAGCTTAAATAGTAAGTACCTACCTTAAATATGTAGAAAAATATAATTAATACACTATACCGATAACCAAAACGTTTGTTTTTAATATTGATTTTCTTATTTTTTTTAAACATGGTAAGTACTTAGATGAATGTTTACAATCACTAAATATAAATCCCATAGGTACTTAAAAACTAAATCTGTTCTTCACAGTCATTCAATTTAAAATAAATATAGGTAATGGTTTTAAAAATTATTTTAAATTAAATCAAATTTATATAATAATTTATCAAAAAATTATACGTCTTTTGTAGGTACAATTTCCAATTAATAGAACAGTATTATTAAAAAATTGTATCAATAATTTTATTTTAAATGAACGAATAATAAAATAATTTTAAAGCCTGATATATTATTATTCAATTTGGATTACCTGTCTTATTTTAACTGATCTATAATCTAAATTGAATGTATCAATATAATATATTGTAATGCATAACACAAATTAAAAGTTCTTACTTAATAATGATGATATTAATTCATGTTTAGTTCAAACACTGGTTTTAAAACATTTAATGAGACAAATCCAATCAATTAAAAATTTTAATTTGAAATTTAATGACGTTTTTAACGATTTGAAATTTTTTTAACAATCAAATATTATTGGAATATTGTATAGTTATAGAATAATGGATTAATTAAAGTTTAAAATTATATTAAAAGTTATATACCTACGTTAATAATTTATATATAAACATTGAAAGATAATTTTGTCCTTTAAGGTGGTGAATATTTGTATACATTATCAGTACTTACTGTGTAGATGCTTTCCTTTTGTTTTTGTAATGTTCATCTCCACTCAAATCCATACTTAGGTCTGCAGTAGAGGAAGCCAGTCGGGTACTGTTTTGCATGTTGTATGAACTTCTAAAAATGTTGTATTATTTTTCTTTTTAAATTATTTACAAAACATTGATTTTTTAGTGATATCCAACTACTTACTCCTTAATATTTTCAGATACAGGTTGTAAATCATAATAAACAAGCTGTTCCATGGGACTGTCGTGACTCAGGTTATCGAAATTCATTAAATCACTATGATCGTGTAACAGGTTATTACAATAAGAAGCAAAATCCGAATTTCTAGCCATTTTATGAAAAGTTAAATTTTGTCAAAAGCTAAGGTTTTACGAAATAAGGGCAACGAACAACTGACACTTGTAAGTATCAGATCCAATAGTCCAAAAGAATCTCTTATGCGAGGTATTTTAGGGGGTGGTTTTACGCGACGTGATCGAGCCTTACCATTGGCCGACGACAAGTGTTTACGTCATTTGTTAGCACGGTTTCAATTGTACATATATATATATACCAGAAACCAATGAAGGAAACAATATTAGGAACCATTTGAATAATCTTGTAGATTGTAATCTATGCGATGCATTAAAACAGTCACTCTATAATATTTTATAAGGTCTATTATAGTAAGGCATATTACAATCATTATGATAAACTTATGAATAATTATTGTTGTGTATTTAATAAATCCAATGTTTTATTTTATTTATACTTTGAAAGTTTTAAATTCCTTAAAATACTTGTTGTTAATAATTATGAAAATATGATTTTTCCAAAATATATTTTTATCTAACTTTCAAATTAAGGATTAATTTATATTTATAAGTGTTCAAACATTTTTGTATAAAAAATTATGTACATTGTTTATAAATGCATAATATTATTATAAGTACATATTTTAAATAATACAATTAGATTTCTTAAAAAAGTAGGTAAATTGACAAATATATCAAAAACAAATAAAGTAAATATACATATAAATATTAAATGTTAGAAATGGTTCTTAATAGAAATAAAGCGCTTTAATAAAACTTTATTTTTATGTTTACAATCTACCTATCTCTACAAGGATGTAATATTACATAACACAATATTATATTTATGTTTAAACAATTGATCGTACCGTGAATAATGTCTTTTTCTCGGCTTCATTTTAGATCCTTTCCTGAAATATTATACAAAATTAATATTATTTATTTGTTATTGTTTCATGTAAATGATACATTGATACTTGGAATTGAGGTAACACCTTTATAAGATTTGTAAAATTCGAAAATTAAATCCGTTTTTAACTTGCCCTAGAGGAAATTAATAATGTCCACCCTTTTTGTCTGAACCAGAGATTTCTGCCCTTCTATTGTTACGCACACTGAGGGAAAAATACAAAACCTTAACAGTATACGTCACTGACATTATATTTGTTTTTAAATATTCAGACGTAACGGATATCTACTTAACCAAATAATTAGAATGTACAGCGGGAGGTATACCTGTCAAATGCATCCTGATAACATATTTTCTTACATATAATTACAAAAAATGTATAACTATACTATTTAATAAATAATCGATGATCTCTATACATACAATTGTATAGATATTTATTCTCTAATTAATATATTATTGAATATTGACCCTTCAAAAATTATAATATATTATATTAAATATAACTGCACATCTTAAATTAGTAAATTCAATTGAAAGAGAAAGTATTTCTTATAAAATATTAATTCATCATTAATAGAACCACTCAACTACAGTAATTGTATTATTTATTTAATACAATAATATGCAACAATTAGTAAATTGATACATATAAATACGTATAAATTATTACTATCATACCTATTGACTATTATTAGACATGTAAGTATCAAAACAGTGAAGAATTTAGTATAATAAAAATAAAATATAGAAGGTATACTATGTAAAACATAAAAAAAATTTGAAATGTTCATATTTTATATTTATATACGCAAGTAATTTTAATCATGAACATCAACTGTTATTTTACCAAATACCTACTATTTAAAAATTACATTGTAATTATTACAATATTGTTTTTTTTAGTATATTTTGTAGTATTATATGTTTCTTTAGGAACTATAACTGCTTATATTTTGCAATCTATTACTTAACTACCTGTTGGCTGTTATGATCATCAATAAATGCTAATTTAGGTACTCTAATACATAACTATTGTCCATACAATATTACTCCACTATAGTGGGGTAATACCTACCTGTCTATACTTATAACGTTAACAGTTATTTGAATACTGAGTAGAAATATCTGCACATTATGCCTATATGGCACGCACTATCCTACGGCATATAGTTGACAATATAAGCTATAAGTTATTTATCCAGGTATGTTTTAGATATATAGAATATATAAAATAAATGTTACTCAAAATAAAAACGAACGGGATTCGTAGGTAAATAACGATTCGTTGAAAATCGTATGTGATTTCTGGTGAGATAATATGACATATATTTAGACATAATAACAAATATAATAATATGATAAAAAGTACGATATTATGGACCTGTACAGTTCAATATAGGTACCTATTAATACAACATCGATCAGGGCGATAATAGAAAATATTAATATTATGCAACCACCACCCAGGCTCGGATTGGTCCTACGAACTACCGAGTTCAGGGAAAATATCGGTGGGCTGAACAAAATCTATACAATAACGTAATTATGTAATGATATGGATTATAACTACATTATGTAAGTTGCTAAATATAAATACAAGCTACGTAGCGGAATAATTGTACACACATATCACATATGCCATACATTTAGAACAAAAACTGTGAGAGAAATATAAATTATATTACAATTTATGAATAGTTAGATTAGGTACATTTAAATACGTAATAAGATTTACCGAATCCGTAATCCATTTTCTAGATTTAGTAAAATAAAGGGATCGGCATGTAAACTTTCTTGATTTTTAATTTTTAGAAATATATTAACTGATTTATCACACCCAAGCGGTATAACATTTTGAATCCAGAAAAATGTCAATGAAAAAAAAAAATAATCATTTTCATTTTCATTTAGTGAGATAGATCTCCGAAACCGAAGAGCGGATTTCGTTGGTTGCGGTCTTGTTAGATTCACATTGGTTAGAAGTAGGGCAGTGAAGATTTTCAGAACTTTATCTTTAATAGTTAGTTCACTGCAGAACATTAAAAAAAATTAAAACAAATTTTATTCGACGTTTCTTGATGTTTTTCAGCTTTACCGCTTTGTAGTGAATTGACGATTAGAGATAAAGTACTGAAAGTCTTCACTGCGCTTTTCCTAGGCAATGTAAATCTTACAAAACTCCAAACAACAAAATACGTTCTCCAGTTTCGGAAATCTACCTTGCTAAATGAAAATCTATCGAAAAATAACTCTTTTTTTATCTGTGAAAAAATAAATAATTTTTTTTTTTTTAAATTTTAACTCCACATTTATTATCTACTTGATAATCCCTTTTTAATGAGTTATCAACCAACTTTCTAGCTATCATAGTTTAGGATAAAAGTTAAAAAATAGAAATTTTGGGACTGTTTACGCCGACGTTTTTATGGATTCAAGTGGTTATACCGCTTGGGTATGATATCAAATCTCTCTCATTAATATTTTATATTAAATCTAGATAAATTACCTACTTACTCGTCATTACTGAGTTACATTTTTATTAGTTTCCTATTTAACACGAATTCTTGAAGTTTCCAAAATTCAATTTTTTTCATTTCAATTACCATACTTATACTTGATTAAAAATCAAGAAAGTAAAAATGTATATTATTTTGTTCAGCAAAGTGATCAGTGGAACATATTAATTAGATAACAAATCTTTTAGGCATCTGTTTTGTCATAAATTTGAATTTAATCAATATAGGTACCTAATAATTAATATTGAGACGTTTGATTTATTTTTCTTATTATTGAACCATTAAGTTACATTTTCAGGTCAATATAATCTCACGTATCCGTTTCATATACATAATTTGTAACTTATAAGTCGTAACATCATATTAGATACACTATTACAGTGCTTATAAGAAAGTTAATAGTTCCGTGAGAGTGGGATAGTTTTAAATTAACTAACTAATTAATCTTACATTAGTTATACAGCCATGTCAAGAAAACTTTTTTTAACATTTCATGGGAGGGTTAACACGGGGGATTGTGATAGGGTGGGGAGATGTCTCACCAATAAAACTCACCTTGTATACGTTTTCTGTATATAGCTGCATATAATAATTTGGTACTCGTCCCTTTAACATATTAAAATATAAATATTTGGGTATTTATCTATATAAGTATATTATATTTTATGTAAATATTAGCATAGGTACTCGTTAGTTACTCGTTTCTAAACAGAAGCGGGTAAAGCGTTTAGCACATAAAACAGGTGTGACAGAGTAGGTACTGTTTTTTTGTGTGTTAAAGGCCATCCCACATTCCCATCTTGGACGAATTAATAATATAACCTGAGTCCTGTATCGCACCTACGCCATACTCGTATAGTATAACCTATTATTTATTATGTGCAAAACGTTCACGAATATACAGATAATAGATGTTATTAAGTAGGTGTTAATACGCACAACAAAAAAAGTCTAATAGAATACATTGATGGCAACGAAAAAGCCGATCGAAAAGCATCCAAATCGGCCACCACTCAGTCACACTCCAATCCTATACATATCACATATTCACATATTATGTGGAAAAAAAGAAACAAATACATCAAGTTTTAAATCTTAGATGGAAAAAAACATTGAAAAAAACAAAACTATGTTCAATAAAAGGCAGCATTCAAATACGGTAAAACCCAGCTTTTTCTCTAAAAAAGAAAGACGAAATTATTATAAATCCCCTTCGAATGGGAAACAATTTCACAACACACTAAAATGATACACCCATATTGGCCATATGCTATTCATGTGGATTGTGGAGTTGATTTTACGATTAATCATATAATAACAGAATGTTAAAAATATGAGTATATGGTTATGAGGACCAAACACCACATACTTGATACCGCAATAGGGGAAACACCAGTACATACCAGATCTACTATCAATTATAATAAGTATAAACATTAAACAACATCAATAAACAAAATAAAATAAAATTACACAACTTAATTTAAGATAAGCATAAATTGTAAATAATAAAATATGATGTATTAATTTCATGCATCGATATATTATTGTTCCAAAACAGGTAACAAACATTGTAATTAATTTTTCTTGTAAAAGAAACCTTTGAAACCTGAAATTGTTAAAACATAATATTGCATGCCTCGGTCCACAAGCTAGGATAGATCGGACTCTTGGACTCTTAAACATGTTAATATAACAAGAACCAGGCCTAAAATGTAGTCATTGTCATTTTCGAAACTACGACTAACGTTTTGACATTTTATATGAAACTTTAAAACATTTTAAGTCACGGCTGTTTAAGTGATTCAATATTTCAACCTCAAATAAATAAATTTCATAAGGAAATTATAATACAAAAATACTTATAATAGTATTATTTGTATTAATAATTTTTATTTTGTATTAAAATATTCTATTTAAGGGGTTCTGAGGATGTTGATGGACTAGCACCTCCTCCCCAATACCTTTGGCCCATTGGCCCTACCTGAATAGTCATCGGAAACCCGGAACAGAGCTCAAGTTAAAACGTTAATATTGATATTATTTATGACTACCCAATCGATAAAATATCTGTGTGCCTACTCTTAGGATTGTGTGTATATTACATGCAAATAAATGATGCGCTACTCACCAATGTATAATTATATAAGTATATTATATGCATCAACAATATAATAGGTACAAACGTCCGTTATCGGCTTCTGCGGCGACGTATCGAGCAACGCGAGAAAAACGTCGGCGGGGCAGCGGCTGTTAGGAATCGTATTTAGGTTTTAATTTTTTGTTCTAGACTAAAACTTAATAGATATTGTATTATAATCCAATATTATAACACCTAATAAACGGTAAACGATCACGTTTCTGCCGGCCTGGCATACTTATTATAATAATATTATCGTTTCGCGAGGCGCGTACAGGCAATCGGCCTATGTACACACAAAACATTATACACACTAGAATATTGTGTAC